CAAGCGAAAGGTGCCCAGATCACAGACTGTGATACATTGTGTGTGTGCGTATGTGTGAGTTGCATTTAAAAATTCTCCGTCTCATAAATTCCCTTGCTGTTGTGCCTGTGATTTATTCTCCTGAACGATGGTAATTCCTAAGTCTAGTCACTCCAGCTCTGCTACAGTGAAACATATGAAACTCTCGAAGCTCTTAAACCCATAATGCCAATCTTGGGGATAGTATCACCATCTCCCAGCTCAGACCAACAGATTTCACTACATGAAGTGTGAAATCCATTGTATATGATGGAATATGACAGGGAACCCCCCTTTTTGTGTGATGGAATATGAGAGGGAAGCCCTTCCTGTGTGATGGAATATGAGAGGGAAGACCTTCCTGTGTGATGGAATATGAGAGGGAAGACCTTCCTGTGTGATGGAATATGAGAGGGAAGCCCTTCATATATGATGGAATATGAGAGGGAAGCCCTTCCTATGTGATGGAATATGAGAGGGAAGCCCTTCCTAAGTGATGGAATATGAGATAGAACCCCTTCTTTTTTGACGGAATATGAGATGGAACCCCTTCCTGTGTGATGGCGTATGAGATGGAACCCCTTCCTGTGTGATGGCGTATGAGATGAAAACCCCTTCCTGTGTGATGGCGTATGAGATGGAACCCCTTCCTGTGTGATGGCGAATGAGATGAAAATCCCTTTCTGTGTGATGGCGTATGAGATGGAACCCCTTCCTTTGTGATGGCGTATGAGATGGAACCCCTTCCTGTGTAATGGAACATGAGAGGAAATTTCATCCTATCTGATGGAATATAATGGTGGGTAAGGAAGTAATATAGCTAGCGTTTGTTCCCGCTATATAACTCTCATATGGAGTAACGTAGTAGATCAGTGCACAGTGTGACCAGACAGGTTGTTAGTGCTCGCTGCACGAAGTCCACGCACCACTGCCTGGCTGATCACCTAGCCCACCACCTAAATCGTCACCTTCACCTACACTCTCACACTCCAGGCACCTTTAGTAATAACAGGTGAGTCAGTAACCTGTTATGTGATTACGTCACAGTAGACGATAAACAACAACAATTATCAGCTGACTGATGACGTCATTAGGAGTGTAGTACTATGATGCCCCTGACACTGTGTTCTTTAATTACACCTACCGTGCTTTGAACACTACACCTGGTGTAAGGTGTGTGTACTGACCATACGTTGAACACTACACCTGGTGTAAGGAGTGTGTACTTACCTAACTTTGAGTGCGAGCGGTCGAATCTTGGCTCCTGACGTGTATGGATACATATGTGCTCACCAAGGTGTATTTGCGGGGGTAGAGTCTCCGTTTAACTACAATCACCGGCTGTATTGGTTTTCCCGCCTCTCGATCCTTGTCGTATCTACTCTTCAGATTATGTATGAAGTTTGTCTTCACTGACGTCAGATGAGGTACGTGCAGCTGCACGTCCGTCAACTGACGCCCGTATATAAGCGCCAATCTTTTTGCCTGTGTTTCAGAGTCTTCAAGACTACGACCTTTCACCAACTCCAAGTCTGAGGGACTGATTACCTCGTCTTATATATATAATTCTACATTCATAAACATTATAACCTTGTATTGTATTGATAAAGTCACTGGTTGGCAAAAAGTCTAAAAATAAAGATACCCAGATGTTACACATGCGTCTAGCTCTTTTCCGTTTTTTTATAACAGAGCACTTGCTGTGGGTTAAATTCCCCTCAAGGAAGGTTCCTTGATGTTGGTGAGGGGCTCTTGATTTAGGGAATTGGATCTGTGCTCCAGTTCCCCGAATTAAGCCTGAATGCCTTCCACATCCCCCCCCCCAGGCGCTGTATAATCCTCCGGGTTTAGCGCTTCCCCCTTGATTATAATAATAATAATGTGGGTTAAATTCCAGTAGCCAGTTTGCTAAACATCCCTGTAGTCAATCTGTCCAAGTAGTTTAATGCGAGGTTTTTAGTTGATGCTGACTAGTATAACTTGCTATGAGAGTATTTGTGATGATTGTTTATGTTCTCTGATTTTATTGTTTGATAATTTTATCCTTTTTTTTTTTATTGTGTATTGAACATATTTTGTAATGGCTATGGACGCTGAGTGATCTACGAGGTCAAGTGCGCCGTGTCTACTGCTACTACTGCAGCTGCTGCTAGTACTGCTACTACTATTACTGCTGCTGCTAGTACTACTATTACTACTACTGCTGCTGCTATTACTGCTGCTAGTACTACTACTATTACTACTACTGCTGCTGCTACTATTGATGAGAGTAAGACACTCATCTTGTCGGTATTATATACCATTCGTACACAACTTGTCAGACACTGCAACATCATGGAATCTTAATTCTGAGGACATGTACATAAACTTCACGACTACGACAACTACTACTACAACTAACCCATCTCTTTGGGAAGGACCTACTTCCACTGGGGAATCCCACCTACCAGTGAATATGCCCTCGTCTGCTACACCTGACGTTACTATATAAGCGCCAGGATTCTTTCTTCTGCTTCAGAATCTCCACGACTACGGTGCTGTTCTCACCTACTCCTAGGTTGAGGGACTGATTACCTCATCTTCTGTACATAGTTCTATTGTCTTCAAGTTATGTCCTAGAATTTGTATTGATAAAGCCACTGGATGGCGAAACGTCTACAATAAAGATACCCAGATGTTGCACATGTGTCTTACTCTCATCTTGTCGGTATTATATACCATTCGTACACAACTGCTGCTACTATTATTACTACTGGTGCTGCTGCTGGCACTACTACTGCTGCTAGTGCTACTACTACTATTACTGCTACTGCTGTTGCCATTGCTGCTGCTACTGCTATTACTACTAGTGCTGCTGCTAGTATTACTATTACTACTACTGCTGCTATTACTGCTGGTGCTGCTGCTAGTACTACTACTACTATTACTGCTACTGCTGTTGCTATTACTACTGCTGCTGCTGCTAGTAGTACTACGTACTACTATTACTATTACTACTGCAGCTGCTGCTAGTACTACTACTACTGCTGCTAGTACACAAATAACCCGCACATAAAAGAGAGAAGCTTACGACGACGTTTCGGTCCGACTTGGACCATTGACAAAGTCACACTAACCAGAGGTGGAGCAGGACGGCTATATATAGGCAGGAAGAGGTAGTGGTGGTAATAGTAGTAGTACAAGAATTGTATATAATACCGACAAGATGAAATTAAGACACATGCATAACACCCGGGCATCCCCAACGTAGACGTTTCGCCATCCAGCCAGCCACTGATTGGCGAAACGTCCACAACAAAGACAACCAGACGCCGCACATGTGTCTTAATTTCATCAGTAGTTGTAGTAGTAGTAGAAGAAGAGGTAATAGTAGTGGCAGTGGTAGAAGTGGGAAATAAGGATGACGAGCCAGTCAAATACAAAGGAAGGGGAGCACTGCAAGAGAGCTAGATGCCCACAGAGGGAGAGCAAGCGCACAGAGGTGCGTGAAAGGGGAAGTGGTGAAATAAATGAAGAAGGAACAGAAACACGAGACAGGGAGAGAAAGAACAACCCAGAGGAGGAAAAGGAAAGAGGAAAGGGGAAGAGGAAGAAGAAGAAAAAGAAAAAGAAAAAATGAGGATTCAGGTTAAGTCACGGGTGTTCTGAAGTTTGGAGCATTTTACAATATAGTGGGAGAGGAAGGCATCTACAGAGACGAAGCCAGGGCTAAGGTTCATACAAGGAAAGTTGTGTATTAGAGAGGATTCAACTAGACGGCGACTGTTCGAGTTGGAAGTAGGGAAGACAGTTTTAGCAGAAGACCAGTCAATAGGATGGCTATGATCTCAGTATCACCTCTGCTCATCCTGAAATGTTTTCCCTGACCATCGTTCTGTCTCCTTCTCTTAGGTATTATTTGATGGATTGTAGTACCTGTCTCGTTACCCCTCGCCTCTCCTAGCCTGTGGAAGAGTTTGTGGTGTGGTACAGTATCATAGGCCGCCGTACAATCCATGAATATGCAATTCACCTGTTTCCCGATATATTGTGCATTACCGTGTTATAGGATATACTTGTTGTAATTGTAATATGTCCTGACAGTAATTTTTAAAGGAGTGGACCGGTAAGTCAGCGGAAGACTTCGCTCAGATGACCAAAATCTCCAGATGCGAGTCATCATATGACTAAGACCCGCGTCAGGAAACACTTGTCTTTTATTTTTCCTGATAAAACTCACCTAACCTTGTGATAGGATTCTAATATGGTTGTATTCGCCTGTTTGTGGTTGCAGGGGTCGATTCACAGTTCCTAGCCCTGCCTTAATTCTTCCCCCCC